TACCCCTTTCAAGGGGTAAACCCTTCTTCATCAGAGAGTGACTTCAATGAAGAAGGATTACCCATTGAAATACATCCGCCATATTGGACCTGGATGGCTTGCATGTCACGTGCCTGAAGACATCTGAAATCCGAAAAATGTGAAACAAAAAATACATGGGGGTGGGTAATCTGATTGGCTGTTAAAGAACAACACGTACAGGTCTTATTTGACAGGCTGGTGAACAGGATTCAGCACACAGTGACATTACATAATAATTCCCATTCTTTTTGTCAGCATGTCTCATATCGTTTCGATTTTACAGAGCCCGCTGTGCCGAGGTTAGTAAGGGGGTTCCGACCCACGAAGCAGTAAGCCTTTCACAAAGCCATTTGTTTTCCAAGCCCAGCCAAAATGCAGCATTAAAATGATTTTTCTGACATGCAGGTCTGAAGTGTAATAAGCAAGCAGTAGTCACTACACTTCTACTTTCTGGAGGAAACGCCAACGCAATGATATAGGGTCACCGTGTCAGCGTTTACTAGAAAGAAACAAAGGGAAGTTAAGGGAAGGGAACCTCACCTAGTGAGCACAAAAAATAATTGACTGCTCAATAAATATTAAAGGAACCTTTTCTACCATTACATGTGCGGCAGACTGTGGAAGAGTCGCTAAACGACGGGATCAATTTAAGAGATTTTCTTGGGTTAAGAAATAAGAGATGTGCAGCATCGCTCGCACTGAGATTTACAATGGGTACCTTACTTATTTCATTATTTAATAGACAAATTGTAAATTATTTAAGAGACAAATTGTAAATCTGGAAAAAATACTACAAATACACATGATGGCAATGTTATTACAATCCAATACACTTGCAGTTTACAGCAGCAAGTTATGTTGAAGGGTGGAGAGCAGTACTTCAACCCAAAAGGGGAAGTTCTGGTTTTTGTCCTCTTCCCCTTCTCCTCTTATACTTTTGGCACTTTTTGGGGGATGGGGGGTTGACAGGTACCCACTCCAACTCCTGGTCGGATGGCCACGGTGATCCACTGGACGTTTTCCCCCACCTATAAGCTTCTGGGAGGGACATGTCACAGGTCTCAGAAGATTGCGGGATCAATCACATGGCACAGTGTGGCTTGCGTATGTGCAGTGGGCAGCCGGCTGTGAAGCCGCAGGGAATCACACTGAAGACCAGCAAAGAAGCAGTTCAGGTGAGGATGGCGGTGGACCCCTGGAGAGGTAAGTGTCCTTTTATTAAATGACAGCAGGTACAGTGTTCATAGCTGCTGAATTTTAATTTTTTTTATTTCAGGTTCTTATATAGCGCTGTCAATTTTACACAGCACTTTACACATATATATTGAACATTCACATCAGTCCCTAACCCTCAAGGGGTGTACAATCTAAGGTCCCTAACTCACATTCATACACATATTAGGGCCAATTTAGACAGGATCCAATTAACCTACCAGCATGTCTTTGGAGTGTGGGAGGAAACCGGAGTCCCCAGAGGAAACCCACACAAGCACAGGGAGAACATGCAAACTCCATGCAGGAGGCGCCCTGGTCGGGAATACAAACCCATGACCCATTAACTACAAGGCAGACGTGCTAACCACTAAGCCACCGTGCTGCCCAAAATGAAATCAAAACTGCTTTAAAGTGGAAATCTATGTTTTACATAAAAGGCCCCCCACTGCCACACACACACACATACACACACACACACACATACACACACACACACACCCCAAGGCTCCCACAACAGCAAATTAAAATTAAAAAAAAAAAAGCAGTTTTTCTGCTGGTCTGATGACATCATGGGTCCTTGCTCTTCTCTCCTGGCAGCGGCTGCAGGAGATCTTGCACTGATCAGTGCCCACGTAACAATGATTCTCTCTGTAAAGCTAATGTCATCTTTGTACAGGCATCATTTAGGGTCAGCATCTAATTCCTAGACTAATACTGGCCATACATGTAGCAATTGTGCACAGAGATGGATACAGTCATCCATCTTGCTAAAGACCCTCCATCGTGTATCGCTCTCTCCCTCCTCCAATCCCCCCTCCCTCTCTGTTGAGTGACATGTGGTCTGTATGATGCTGAGAGATCACAGGCATCAGGCCCCAGCTGGAGTGCTTCATGGTTATAAACCCCAATTAGCCAGGCCCCAGTATGTCTGTGAGACTCTTGCTTGGAAAAGATCGTAAAGCCATAAACCAGTCCTTCACTGGGCTTCAAAGACATTCCAGCTAGCCGTAAAACAGACTCACGTTTAAAAACCCACTTTTCCATATAATTGTATATCTTAAGGTAGGAAATAATTACATAAACATAAAGCATATATTCGGATAGCTCTGTTTAATACAAGTCGCCTGATATCTTACACCCCTAGTTGAAGTCTACAGGAGAGCAGAAAGCATACAGGTCCAGCTGAAATAGTAAACTATGCCATGTTTGATATCTAGACGTTCAGCAGATGATTCTGCATGTTAATCTACCCGTGGATAGAATGTTACATGTACCTAGGAAGGTTATTGCCCTGGTATAACTTGTGAGGGATTTTGGTTCTAGTCTGAGTCCCCCGCCTACAACACCCTCCCCAAATGAGGCAATTGGTTCTCTGCTTCAAGGAGACACCCTGCAGAGTTCCTAAAAAAAGGCTGTTATGCTTGGAGCAGAGAGTTGAGTTGAAGAAATCTCCCTTTTAACATCAGAACCAACTCGGGAGACGGTACCCTTTGCTCTGAAACTTGATCTGCTTAAACCAAGGCTGACGGCAAGAATCTACCTCTCTAAACTTCTTTCTGTTATCTCTTTGCTGTGTTATTGCTCTCTGTATTTATATATATATTGTCTACATCTTTTTCTGTAAATATTTTTATTGCACCATTTTGACCTTTTTAGTAATAAATCCTATTTTCTGAAAAGTGTTGAACTGTTTCTAAATCTCTTAAATGCAAACTAAGAATCCCTGTCTCTGAAGAGTGCTACTGTGTGTTTTTAAAACCTCTATATATCTCTGCCTGCGGTGACAGTGGTATACAGTTTCCTCCTGCTCTGTACAAAAAGGAGATGGTGGCAGTGTGAAGGGTTACTTGCGTAATTAACCTGACCCAGTAACAATCGCTCTCAGGCTGCGGCACATAGGCTGTGGTCCATTAGCTGGAAAATCTGTGTGAATGGTGCAGCTGAGCGTGGCATTGTTACGCACGTGACAGCACGGTTTTAGATTGGATAGTCCTTCGGTCACAAGTTGGTGAGAAGAGCTGGGGTCTGATGCCGCGACCGTCACAATACACATCTCGAATTTTGTCCGATTTCTGCTGATCGGTCAAAGTTCTAACTGCTGGCACCACCTGTCCCAACAAAGGTCAATTTTTCAATCACCTTTTGTCAAAGGAGCCAGGTGGGAAGCTGTCAACCAAACACTGAGTGCACACAATAAGTCATATTTATATAGTAACTGTTATGTTATTTAGCAGCCACAGGTCCCACCAGCTACTGAATACAATAGCTGGCAGGAGAGACTCCTCCATCTATACTGTTTAGCATGGTTGAAGGAATCCATTCGATTTTTCTTGTTCAGTCTGAGGAACCTTTGTTGTATGGCTAGCTTTAGATACTGGCCTAGAGCTGTCACAATCATGTACCCTATATGGCCAAAAGTATAATGACATTCCTCCAAATCATACGGTTCAGGTGTTTCCATTGAAGGGTATTTTAGTTAATGTTGCAACATACAAAGACATTTTAGACAATTATGAGCTTCCAACCTTGTGGTAACAGTTTGGCAAAGGTCCTTTTCTGTTCCAGCATGACTGTGCCTCTGTGTACAAAGCCAGCTCCATAAAAACATTTTTGCTGACTTTGGTGTGGAGGAATCTGAGTTTCCTGCACAGATCCCTGACCTTAACTCTATAAAACACCTTTGAGATGAACTGGAACACTGACTGTAGCCAGGTCTTCTCATCCAACATAAACACCTGACCTCACAAATGCTTCTTTTGGATGAATAGGCACAAATTCTCAGACACAATCCAAAATCTTGTAAAAAGTTTTTCCTGGAGGGTGAAGGCTGTTTATAGCTAGCTATCTCCATTTTAATTGCCATGGTTTTGGAATGGGATGTCCAAACAGCTCATATATGTGTGATGGCCAGGTGTCTGCTAACTTTTGTAATTCTTGAGGTCTACACAGAGATAAAGAATTCTGACTTTGACTTTCATTTGGTGTATGGCTGATCTGTGGGGCAGTGAAGTCAATTTACTTCACCATGACGTCATTACGGCATAAATTGTATGCATTGTTTAGGGAACCCCCCTCACACAACATGCTGTTAGTAAATCTAATGCATTTACAAACTTCATTTTTTCAAGCAATCTTCCAATCGTAAATGATCATTTTAGAAACTTTTTTTTTTCAAGAAAGCTAACAAAATGCAAGCACATCCTTACTCCATGTGGCTTCCCAGCGAGGAACCAATCCCAGCATCCTGTTACTACAACGTAAGAGTACTATAACCCAGCCTTTCTCAACCAGGGTGCCCAGGCACCCTGGGGTGTCTTGAGGTTTCTTCAGGGGCGCCTTGGCAAAATGTCTAAAAATTGCCCAAAACTTGTATACAAGCCAGCGGGTGGAACAACCTGCCTTTTAGTTACACAAAGCAACAGGTTTCCATTGTGCACCATTACGACCTTCTAGCCGTCCTGACAACCAATGACATCATCAGTTGATAAGGTGGATATCAGCTGCCTGCACAGCATCCTAGTTTGACCCTCCCCCGCCCCTCTCCATCAGTTTTGGGGTCACATTAGCTCAGTGATGGAGAAAAACTGAGAGAGAAGAGAAACATTGGAATACTAGTCAGTACCAGTGTGCAAAAGTGCATTTTCTTTGGAAGAGTAAATCACTTCTAATGTTGGGTGTCCTACATGTGTGGATGTTGCTGCGTTATATAAAACTCTTAGAATAGTTTTTCACATTTTAGAATGGGGTGCCCCAAGACTGTCCATAATTTTAAAGGGTGCCTCAAGACTGTCCATAATTTTAAAGGGTGCCTCGGGACTGTCCATAATTTTAAAGGGTTCCTCAAGACTGTCCATAATTTTAAAGGGTGCCTCAAGACTGTCCGTAATTTTAAAGGGTTCCTCAAGACTGTCCATAATTTTAAAGGGTGCCTCAAGACTGTCCATAATTTTAAAGGGTGCCTCGAGACTGTCCATAATTGTAAAGGGTGCCTCAAGACTGTCCATAATTTTAAAGGGGGCCTCGGGACTGTCCATAATTTTAAAGGGTGCCTCAAGACTGTCCATAATTTTAAAGGGTGCCTCAAGACTGTCCATAATTTTAAAGGGTGCCTCGAGACTGTCCATAATTTTAAAGGGTTCCTCAAGACTGTCCATAATTTTAAAGGGTGCCTCAAGACTGTCCATAATTTTAAAGGGTTCCTCAAGACTGTCCATAATTTTAAAGGGTGCCTCAAGACTGTACATAAATTTAAAGAGTGCCTCGGGACTTTCCATAATTTTCCTGGGTGCCTTGACTGGAAAAAGGTTGAGAAACACTGCTATAACCACTAAGCAACCCTACTACTCATAACCACCAACCAGCAAGGATCTTTCTCTGAGCTAACAGGAGAAATCTCCTGTAGGCTTTTCCATTTTAGACAGCCCCCTTGCCCTTTGTACCAACTCAATAATAACCCTGCAGATAATTTTGCTTACATAAAAAGGAATAAAGGTGCGTCAGAAGAATATAGATTTACTTGGCTGTGAAATGAAAGAAATGAGAAAAATTTGGGTGAGCGGTTTGTGGTTTATGCTTGATAAGAGGCAATTGTTAATTATCGCAAAATGCAAGGAGGACGAACCTTGCTGCATATATTGAAGAGCTGACTGTTTATTCTTCTGAAAATTTTAAATCAGAAGTGTTCTGTAGGGAATATTAAAAAGTGATGAGATTTTGCAGCATGTGATCAAGCAAGAAAATAAATGCAGCGGGGGGCCTGAAGCTTAAAAAAACCAGTGATGAAAATATGATGGCAGCTGTATATAAAGAAAGGTTTTTAAAGCTGTCCCCTGCAATAGAAAAAGCTGAATACTTACCTCTCTGGCAGATTATCAATGAAGTCTTCTCTACCACCAAGCTAGGAGCACCACTGCTATCCAACACTCCCAGGTGTCTTACATAGCATGTCCCACGCTGAGCTCTGTGGTTCCTCCCACTGGCTGCTACTTCAATACAGGACACAGTGACCCACCAGAGGAACCTAACGCTGCAAAACTGTGAACAATTCACTTGCTGCCCACTGGGCAGGTAAGTATCCAGATCTACTACAGCTGGCTGGAGAAACAGGGTCACTTTCCCCTTTTGCTGCCAGAGCTATGTTCTCCCATGTTATAATGGATATTTTAGACCTGAAGATTATCTAAACCCCCCAAAAAAATGTTTATATTCTCTGAAAGAAAAGAACCTGCAAAATTTAAATGGAAATGGTAGCAGTTGCAATTTTTAAAATCAAACCCAAAAAATACACTCAAATTAACTTTAGTGCACACAAACACTATATAGTACTCAATTTTTTGGTATTTTTTAAAGTAAGCAGACCAGATATGTCAAGTCTTAAAATTTTGCATGCTCTGTGAAAAATCCCCCCCCCCTCCCCCCCCCCCCCCCCCCCCCCCCCTTACTACAGTACCCAAAACTGTCTGTTGGAGACGCTCTAAAGGGCTTTACAGGTCATCAGTTTAGAGTTAAACAGTGAATGATGGCTCTAGAATTATTGCTCTGCTGTATGCAGTGATACTAAATAAGTGGTGCAATCAGGGGTTAGGTAAGGATGGGGGGTTACGTGCTGCAGAAGACATCTACAGCCGCCCAAACCACTTCTACAAATAAAACTTGCCAGCATGCAGGAGGTCTGGATAGGAGAAGCTCCAGATAACAATAACATTACAATCTCCCCTCCTCCAACTACAGAATGCCTTGCGTTCATTGAAAAGAATGCAAGATGTTTTTGGAATGGAAGGGCTGCAGAGCAAGCGACCCCTGCGATCTGTGTACTCCAGCCAACACTAAGGGGTTTATTTACTAAAGCTAGTTCACTCAGAATCTGATGCACTTCTGCATAGAAACCAATCAGCTTCCAGGTTTTTTTGCAAAAGTTGAACAAGCTGTGGTTAGAAGATGATTGGTTCCTATGTACAGCTGCACCAGATTCTGAGTGAAAAAGCTTTAGTAAATCTCCCCCTAAGTTTCAGTACAGGATGTTTGGAGCTTACTGTATTGTATGGGGGGGGGGAAGCAAAAGTGAGAGTATTACATAATACAGCAGAAGCCACACACGCTTCATTACCATTCATTTATTTTTTACAGTGCAAATGGCCACAAATTGTTTTTTTGTCTGGAGTTCAGCTTTAGGCCTCCTGCACACCGGATTTTTCCAGCTGCTGTTTTGGGCATCAGACAGTTTTTTTCCTATGGCCAGTAAACTCCCCTGCATGTTATCCTATGTGTCCAAGAGCACATAGGTTTTTAGCAGCGTTTTTTTTGACAGGGGCATTTCAGGCTGGAAAAAAAACCCCCAAAACTACTGCGTTTGAAGAGGAAAAACACTGCAAAACGCGGCTATCCGGTGCTTATGAGCATTTTTGAGCCTCAAGCTTTTGTGGCAGTATAGTTTTTTGCTAAAAAAAAAAGATAACAACCTCAAATGCCCCTTCCCATTCCCATTCCTCCCTCACCCCTACCTTCCCCTCCCTCCCTATTCCTTTCCCATCCATCCCTATTCCCTCCACCTCCCTCCCTATTCCCTTCCCCTCCCTCCCTATTCCCTACCCCTCCCTCTGTATTCCCTTCCCCTCCCTCCCTATTCCCTCTCCCTCCCTCCCTATTCCCTTCCCCTCCATCCCTATTCCCTTCCCCTCCCTCTGTATTCCCTTCCCCTCCCTCCCTATTCCCTCCCCCTCCCTCCATATTCCCTTCCCCTCCCTCCCTATTCCCTTCCCCTTACTCCCTATTGCCCCCCCTCCCTATTCCCTTCCCCCCTCCCTCCCTATTCCCTTCCCCTCCCTCCGTATTCCCTTCCCCTCCCTCCCTATTCCCTTCCCCTCCCCTCCCTATTTCCCTTCCCCTCCAACCCTATTCCCTCCACTTCCCTCCCTATTCCCTTCCCCTTCCTCTGTATTCCCTTCCCTCCCTCCCTATTCCCTCCCCCTCCCTCCCTATTCCTCCCCCCCCTCCTATCCCCCCTCCCTCCCCCCTCCCCCCCCCTATTCCCTTCCTTTCTATCCCTCCCCTCCCCTCCCTCCCTATTCCCTTCCCCTCCCTCCCCCTATTCCCTTCCCTCTCCTATTCCCTTCCCCTCCCTCCCCCTCCCTCCCTATTCCCTTTTCCTCTCCTCCCTATTCCCTCCCCCTCCCTCCATATTCCCTTCCTTTCCATCCCTATTCCCTTCCCCTCCCCCCTATTCCCTCCCCCTCCCTCCCTATTCCCTTCCTTTCCATCCCTTTTCCCTTCCTTTCCATCCCTATTCCCTTCCCCCCTTCCCATTCTCTCTCTTCTTCTCTCTTTTCCGCTACCGTTTGTTTATCTATCATTTATGGAGAAAGTTTTCACTCTAGAGGCCCAAACCTGCATAGCTGGGATCCAGGTTATTGTTTTGAAGAGATGGCAAGGGGGGTATACAATGTCTCCTACCTGGTAACAGTCCTTCTGGTCGCACTGACATTTTTAGCTGTCTACTGCTTTGTGTGCTTTGCAGTGGGGCGCTGGTTTTTTGTACGATTTGGGTATAACTGATGTCCATACCTTGTGCTTATAACCTATGTTGGTGACCCACCATGTTGGGTGGATTTTTTGCTTGGATGTTGTAACATATTGTGGTGAAGAGTGAAATAAAAATTAAAAAAAAAAAAAAAACACAAAAAAAAAAATGCAAACGCTCAAAAACACTAAAAAACGCAACAAAACTTCAATTTTTATCGTGGCATTCTATATCTAACGCTATTGGCATATTTATAACGTCCTGCGTGCATGAGGTCTAAAGCTGCTTTTTCACTCTCGAGGCCCAAACCTGCATAGCTGGGATTCGGGTTATTGTTTCGAAGAGATGGCAAGGGAAGTATACAATGTCTCCTACCTGGTAACAGTGTTCTGGTCGCACTGACATTTTTACCTGTCTACTGCTTTGTGTGCTTTGCAGTGGGGCGCTGGTTTTTGTGCGATTTGGGTATAACTGATGTCCATACTTTGTGCTTATTATCCTATGTTGGTGACCCACCATGTTGGGTGTATCTTTTGCTTGGATGTTGTAACATGTATTGTGCTGAAGAGTGAAATAAAAAAAAAAAAAAAAAACCCACAAACGCTAAAAAAACACTAAAAAAACGCAACAAAACTTCCGTTTTTAATGCAACATTCTACGCTAATTGATATTTTTATAACGTCCAGCATGCTGCTTTTCATGACAGTTGAGGGCCTTGATATAGAAGCAGAGCTTCCTTTTTTTTTCTCTTACTGCAAGGCAAAGGTTTAAGTAGCGCTTAGTTAACAGAGCAAACAGGGGGTGTCAAATGGCTGGTGGGCATGTCATACTCTGTGTGGTCACATATAGATGGATAGGAGGGAGATGTCACAGTAGCTCACAGAGCTGCGGTCTCTGGTTATTCATCTTTGTCGGCTCCTATTAGGATTCTGCCCTGGAAGTGTCAAGGGAGATTTTCCAATCAATAGTGAGGGTAAGTCTTCCCATGTAAGGTTAAAGTAGATCAGATCCCAATCGCTAAATCTCATAGAAGCTTTAAAGCTGAACTCCGGGAAAAGCAAATGTTATGTAAATACAAGAATCTTGGGGTGCTTTGAGGGGAATTTACTAAAGCTGGTTCACTCAGAATCTCGTTCATCTGTGTATGGTGGCCAATCAGCTTGTTCAATTAAGCTTTAGCAATAAAACCTGGAAGCTGGTTGGTTTCCACGCAGAAGTACACGAGTTTCTGAGTGAACGAAATTTAGTAAATATACCCCTTTGCGTATTTCTTCTAGATCTATGCTAAACTTTACCCTTGTAATAAAGACCGGTCACTGCTGCTCTCTCTTCTTGTGCAGGGTGACTGGTCTTGTCTCCGCCCCCTCCTGTAGTTTTCTGCAGGCATCCTGTAGTGGGTGGAGCTTGCTGGTCCCCTCCCTACGCTCTGCTCTCTCTCCTTGTTCAGGGTGACTGGTCTTGTCTCCGCCCCCTCCTGTAGTTTTCTGCAGGCAGCCTGTAGTGGGTGGAGCTTGCTGGGCCCCTCCCTCGGCTCTGCTCTCTCTCCTTTTTTCCCCCTCTCCTTTTCTTCAATATAAATAGGGACATGTGCGCTCTAGTGGGTTTT